ATGAATGCCACGTTGTCACCACAAGTTGCTCACAGTCTGAAGTGGAACAGATTTTGGAGCACCAAGGGACGCAAGGGTACAAACATTCCACTCGATTTACATCTGGAGCACTTGAATGGATTCCTTAAATCTTTCCTGAAGGGTCTGGGGCCTAACCTGAATGAAACTTCAGCAGCCAGAATAAGCAGGTCTATAGGAGTCTTGAAAGAAATGATGGCAGGCACTGATATGGAGCTGGGCATATCTAGGCAAAGTGGTGATCACCATGCGGACATGACCAAAGACATCCTTACATTGGTGGACACTCTGCAAAAGGCAGAGCTATTTAAACAAAAACGAGGTCGAGTGTATGCTGCCTTCCCTGGCTTCCGAAAGAACCTATTGGCAAAGCTGGATCATAAGGCACTGTGGAAGTGGATGATGAGCAAAATCAATGACTGGCGCAGTGTCCCTTTGTAAACCTTGAGGAAAATGACCACATTGTGCTATTTTAACTTGTTTTTTTTAAATCCTTCACGTGTTCTTTATCATTGGTCTTATTAAAAAAAAATTAAGAGTTTCCAAGGGACTCATTACTGCATGTATGAAGTGTAAAGAGATTTTTATTCAGACTGAAACATTTACAGTGGCTCAGTAATTAATCTGAGATTTTATGCACTAAATGCACTAAATGCTGCTGAATGACACTTTCCATAATATACATTTTGCCGCCAAAAAATAGGCAATTTTTATGCATGAAATATCTTACCTTTATTTAAAACATGAACTGGAAGAAAGATTGCAAAACAAATGTTACAGTATTACATAGCAAAGTTTCAAATTGAAACTCAATTTATTTCCCTATTCACATAGTTTTTCACCTCAATAGTAGTTATGACTTTGTTTATTCATGAGTATTCAAGGGACACATTACTGCATGTATGAAGTTTAAAAAGATAAATTTATTCACAATGAAACATTTACAACTGTGCAGTTATTTACAGTGGCTCAGTGATTAATCTGAGATTTGAAGCATAGAAAAGCCCGACTCAATGCTACTCAATGAACTTTCTAAATCCTCATTGTCATCAGCAACATCAAAGTACCCTGAGAAGTCAATATCTGGCGGCAAATATGGTTCTTCAGGAATATCTGGGAACTCGCATAAATCAAAGTCTTGAAATATTTTGTGAACAATTCGTATGATTTCCTGGCCATGTTTTATGTCGAACACAGGTAGTTTCCTCATGACATCAGTTATGTCAAATATTTCAGAAAGACTTTCAATAACTGACTCAATTAGCACATTGCTGAAACCAGTGCAGAATGAGGCATTTGTGTACAGGTGTTCATTGGGTGGAATTAGACTGTCCCTATACTTCTCCAAAAGCTTTCTGACTAGTTCCTGCTCATCTAATGTGATTTGTCTGCATTTGACAGGTGTTAAAATCTGTTTAGGCATTTCGTAATTGGGTTTTGATACAGAGCAATAGTCAGAGCTACACTTGCATAATGAATGGCAATAGGTGCAGCAAGAATGTCCTGGCTCAACACTGGACACTTCTGTCTCAAAATATGAGTATAGGGCCTTCCTAAAACAGCCCTTTAGGCTTTCTTGAAGAACTGTCTTTACTGCCGTGTCTGTGTTGGCGAGCTGTTTGTTGGCATACAGAACAGCATAAGCGGGAGAGCCATCTCTGCCTGCTCTTCCAACCTGCTGGAGAGTGGCCTCTGTGTCCTCTGGTAACCCATACATGACCACATGGGAGACCTTGGGGAAATTTAGGCCGACTCCAAGTGCTGTAGTTGCCACAGTTACTCTGCAGCTGCCTTCTCCATTAAATGAAGAAAGTACCCTGCTCTTGTTCACGGGTAGAGTATGGCTGTGAAACATCCCAATGAGGAGGTTTGTACCTACTTTCTCTCCACCAACCCAGGCACTGTCCCCAAGTTCAGCCTTGAGGTGGAGGAATACTCGTACAACAGTGTTTATTGTCCGGCAGTATATGATGATCGGTAACATCTCCAGGCCTTTCTCTTTCAAGTCTCTCACCAGCCAGTCGAAACAGTCCAGAGAATCTGTTGCAAGTCGCCTTACCGACAGTCTAATGTTGAGTCGATTGGGGCTAACAATGATGTTGTTTTCATTTTTGAAGTGTAGCTGTCTCCTGACAATGTCTCTTGAGTGCAAATCCGCAGATGCAGTCAATGCCAATACTGGTGTTCCTAAAAAAAATATATATATATATATTAAATACAACTCAAAAACATGGAAGTCAGTTGCATTTAAGTCATACCACAGCATACTTAATTTACACTGAATACACTGTATGTATTGTAACATTACTTTGAAATGAACAATGTCAAAGTGACAGAAAAGGCATTACTTGATATTACAATGTGTATTTTTTGTTATGTCATAATGTCAGACAGTGAGTTAAGAGCACAGTAAAATCAGTGGGGTGAGAGGTGAGATATTCCACTAGTAAGACCATAATGAGAAAGCTGGTTGCTCGTTGAAAGGGTAATGGGTTGGGTGAGCTAACAAAGCTTTAAGCCTCCAAGTAATACAAATGTAGTGTCACACCATATGAAGGTTACGGTGATCTCTTAAGTGTTATTGTTTACCTACCTGGTTTTACGATTGCCCGAAGTTCCCCCAACCTCGAAAAGCTTTCCCTAAAGGCCTTCTGTCCTTTCGCAGCCTTCCCCCTGTTTGAAAAAAGAAAAACACAGCTACAGCTTAGAGATGTTCAATTTGTCATTTGTATTGGAAATGGTTCATGCTTGTACTTCACGTTTAGTTACAATAGCGACTCAAGCTTAAACAACTTTTATCTGGTATTCTACATGTGCACACAGCTGAAAGCTATGTCCCGGGAAACGTTAGCTGTAGCTTGATATTATTGAAAAGTAACACAGTGACACTGTGTAGGTACAGTAGCTACTAGCCTGGCTAACGCCAGACGAAATATCACAAGTGATATTTAGTTCGAAAGGATTCGAGCGCACACAGCAGTCTGGCGTTAGCCAGGCTAGTAGCTACAGGCATGACAATAATATTCACAAATACCACTTACCATTTATATGTAAGATGGACTTCGTCCACAACGATGCCTATCAGGTTGGTCCTGTATATGTCGGTGGATAGCAAGTTCTCCCACTTGGCGCTTAGCCAGGCCTCCGGACTGCCTAACAGAACCTGGTACCGGCAACTCTTGATTGCATTTTCCTCCACGGGACCAAGCTGTGTCGCAGAAATCCCGAGCTCAGCTGCCTCCTTTATCTGGTCCTCCATCAAGGCGATCAATGGAGAAACTACCGCAACAACCGGGTTTTTGCTAAACCCCATTAGCTTTGCCACTAACGGGGCTAGTTGGTAGATTAGGCTTTTGCCAAACCCTGTAGGTAGCAAGGCTAAAACATCTTGCTTGGTGTTGATAAAAGATTGTAAAGCCAAACGCTGTTCATCTTTTAAAATAAACGTTCGAGGTAAACTACTTAGAACACGGTCTACAGCTTGATCAAAAGATAGCTTCACGTCTGCTGCTGCCATGTTGGATTCGTAAAAAGAACTACAAGCTTCCGTCTGCCAAATAGCGCGTCATCGTCTTGCCGTCCCTCCTCGTTCTGTGATTGGTGCCCAACTCCATGGACAAATGTCGGCCATGGTCCCCAGGCTGTTGTGAAGTTCGAAAGGATTCGAGCGCACACAGCAGTCTGGCGTTAGCCAGGCTAGCTCGCTGCAGCGTGGCGTGGCCGGTTGTTTTTAGACGGCCTCATGTCGGGAGGAAGCGCCCGATCCAGATGCTCCTTCGGGAGTTTGGGAGCGGGTGAAATGGTGCGAGGAGCCGGCCCACTGTGCGGCGGCTGCTCCTGTGAACTCCTCTGACTGAGGCTCAGGCACAAAGTTTCATACACCAAGTAACTGCTTTTGAGTTTTGGACGCGTGACTTCGGCTCCGAGCTACGGCCAAAACTTCTATTCCACCACAGAGAATGTAAATGTAAACACGTTTGCCAATTAACAGCTAATTAAGTGCTAATTAGAGTATAATTTATGGTTACTTCTCTCTAATTAGTCCCTGTAGTTTAGGGTTAGGCTACACTAATTAGCTGTTTATTAGCAGTTATTTTGTGAGGGCTAATCCAAAGTGTTTCCTGTTTTTCTAACCTGGCACCAGGAATGCGTCAATGCTAGTGTCAACTGTAGAGCCAATCCAGAAGAAAGATGATCGCATTTGTTAGACGTGTTAATTGGGCTAATTGTTTTACTAAAGCTTTACTGGATTATATGAAATCAGAAAGTTTACACTCTCAAGAACACAACATCTTATTCTAGCACACAACATCTTATTCTAGCACACAACATCTTATTCTAGAACACAACATCTTATTCTAGAACACAACATAGCATAGTCATGTAAACGTCGTGTTGGGAGAACACTTTCCAATCATGTAAAGACTTTCTGGACCAAGGACCGAGAGCTGATGAACTATGTAATAAAATCCATCAAACTATTTATTGTTTACATGTGCAGGTGTAGTTATAAACTTTTCGATCAACTTTTACAGTGAAAAAGAGAGGATCACTCATTCACTGATCACAGGGCCATTTCTTACACACAGACAAAAAGTAACATGTTTTCGACAGCCTGTCAGCCTGTTGTTGCGAGTTTTTTGGAATTAGGTGTTCCAGCTTTATAATGTTTTGTGGTAATGTTGTATACGATTTTAAATAGCTCTACAATCCACACACAAACAAAAACATCCAAACAGTTTTGCTTCATGAACAACAAATACTCTAATAACTAATCTCTACCCACGCTTCTGTCAAAAATCTCTCTCATGTCAGGATCGTCAACATCAGCCTTAAGTCTCGTCTCCCACGAGCAAAACAGCGGCTCACTGACCCATATTTAGGTGGGCAGCTCCAGAGCAGCTCCAGAGCAGCTCCAGAGCAGCTCCAGAGCAGCTCCAGGCCCACATGTGATGGCAGTGGAACACATTGGGCGCCTCGTGTTAGCGGCAGGACGGGTGCCAGATAAGAGGAGGGCAGGGGAGATCAGGGGAGAGGCAGGGAGGACGAGGGGAGAGACGAGAGGACGAGGTGTGAGGCAGGGGGGAGAGGCAGGGAGGACGAGAGGAGAGGCAGGGGGGACGAGAGGAGAGGCAGGGGGGACGAGAGGAGAGGCAGGGGGGACGAGAGGAGAGGCAGGGGGACGAGAGGAGAGGCAGGGGGGAGAGGCAGGGGCGACGAGAGGAGAGGCAGGGGGGAGAGGCAGGGGGACGAGAGGAGAGGCAGGGGGGACGAGAGGAGAGGCAGGGGGGAGAGGCAGGGGGACGAGAGGAGAGGCAGGGGGGACGAGAGGAGAGGCAGGGGGGAGAGGCAGGGGGGACGAGAGGAGAGGCAGGGGGGACGAGAGGAGAGGCAGGGGGGAGAGGCAGGGGGGACGAGAGGAGAGGCAGGGGGGACGAGAGGAGAGGCAGGGGGGACGAGAGGAGAGGCAGGAGAGACGAGAGGAGAGGCAGGGGGGAGAGGCAGGGGGGAAAGGCAGGGGGGCGGTCTCCTGGGATGTCACAACACGCCATGAGATCCCGGACACTTGTGATGTCACATTCACTCGGCAGTTGTCGAACGCACAGGACCAGAGTCGGAGCTGTTTTTCACTGATTTTTATTTTATTTTATTTTATTTATTTTTTCTAGAGAAGGTACCGTTCAGAACAGGGGTGGGCAAGCCTTTTCTCCTGGGGCCGCACCCAATTTGATGTTGTTAATTTTGTATTTAATTTCGCCAAAACCTACCTCTGCATTAGAAAGTAAAGAATATGAATACTTTGATTTTAGTTTGTTATACCTTTGTATGCACGGATAGTTGTTCTTCATTACGGCACAGATGTAGCTATTGAGAAAGCTAACCTCAGCTCTCACAGATGTGGATCTATGTACAAATGCTCACGTTATAACTCATTTATACCTAAGTGCTGTTGTATTTCTATTGTTAGCTTTATAGAATGATCAATTTTATTTTTTATTTTTGCTGCTACTGGACACCTGAATTTCTTCTACGGGGATCAAAAAGGTATCTATCTATCTATCTATCTCAAACTAATAGACCCCTTCTCTGCAAAATAGTTTTGCAATCCCTGTTATCGGCCCCACAAATGGACAACCTGTTGATCCAGGACTCAGGCTGTAGAACGAGGACCGAGGCCACACGGTGCAGGACTCAGTGGTTCTCTGAGGGCCGGACAGTTGCGTGCGTCCAGACTTGTGAGCTGTATCGAGCCTCCCTGATGCGGGCCCCTGATTAGGCCTGTGTCACTGCCCTCGCTTACATAACTCACTCTCACCCTATAGACCGCAGCCACAGGGGCCAGTCACGCACATGTGGGATCGATGCCTGTTCTATCGGTGTAACTGCTGATTTACCCACAACTGAACCAAACTAAGACTACAGACCATTCATACAACACTTTTTAAATGTTAAAGCAATGGAGATTTTCAGATATATTCAGGACCAGTCACAGCCACCTCCCGCCACTGTCACTTTACTGCTCTGCTAAATATCTATTGGGTGAACTTGTATATAGAAGTCATTTTAAGACATTTTATGTTTTTAAAAAAAAAAATGCATGCAGTTTCTTTTTAGTTTGCACCTTGAGTCAAAGTAAATACTGGTTTGTGACTTCCTGTTACTTACAATGCCAACAAAGAAAACTCAAATAAAAACATGAAAAAATGAGGGCTGGAAGGAACTGCACAACAAGGACCAGAGAGAGACCAGAGACCAGAGAGAGACCATAGGGAGACTAGAGAGACTAGAGAGCGACAAGAAAGCAACAAGCGAGAAACCAGAGAGCGACCAGAGAGTGACCAGAGAGAGACCAGAGAGAGACCAGAGAGAGACCAGAAAGAGACTGGAGAGAGAGACGAGAGAGGGAGAGACTAGAGAGAGACAAGAGAGGGAGACCAGAGAGAGACTGGAGGGAGACCATAGAGAGGGAGAGACTAGAGAGAGACCAGAGAGATACCAGAGAGAGCGACCATAGAGAGACTAGAGAGCGCTTTAGACAAAGGTCATGTTATACTAGCGGTTATATGATGTTGGAGTATAGATGCTGCAAATGAGAAGTACGTAAACAAAAAAATCACACAAAATTGGTCACTAAAGTCTGCGAAACAGCGAGGCCGTCAAAGGTGACCATGGTAACGCAAAGGACGCCTGTGTGTGTGTCATGGCAAAACAGCACAAAAGATTCAAACCAAGAGGATCTAAAAACTACAGCAAACATTTTGGTCCCATGCCTAAATCCTTTGCCTCCTGAGTGCCACTGTCCAAACCCAGTTCACAACAGCTCTGGGACTAATTTAGGAAACAAATATTGCATTCACTCTAACTCATGAGGCCTGGATGAAAATGAACGCAAAATAGGGACTGTACAACAAACAATGAGGACTAACGCACAATGTCGACACTACGCTGAGGGACTGAGGACCAGAGAGGGACCAGGGCGAGACCAGAGAGAGAGGGAGACCAGAGAGTGACTAGAGAGAGACCAGAGAGTGACTAGAGAGAGACCAGTGAGAGAGGGAGACCAGTGAGAGACCAGAGAGAGACCAGAGAGAGAGAGAGACCAGATAGAGAGGGAGACCAGAGCGAGAGAGACCAGAGAGAGAGAGAGACCAGAGAGAGAGGGAGACCAGAGAGAGAGAGAGACCAGAGAGAGAGGGAGACCAGAGAGAGACTAGAGTTAGACCAGTGAGAGAGGGAGACCAGAGAGAGAGAGACCAGAGAGAGAGGGAGACCAGAGAGTGACTATAGAGTTAGACCAGTGAGAGAGGGAGACCAGAGAGAGAGAGAGACCAGAGAGAGAGGGAGACCAGAGAGAGAGAGAGACCAGAGAGAGAGAGAGAGACCAGAGAGAGAGGGAGACCAGAGAGAGAGAGAGACCAGAGAGAGGGAGATCAGAGAGAGAGAGACCAGAGAGAGAGGGAGATCAGAGAGAGAGAGAGACCAGAGAGAGACCAGAGAGTGACTAGAGAGAGACCAGAGAGAGAGGGAGACCAGTGAAAGAATAGAGACAGAGAAAGAGAGAGACCAGAGAGTGACAAGAGAGACCAGAGAGACCAGAGAGAGACCAGAGAGAGGCTAGAGAGAGACCAGAGAGAGACTAGAGAGAGACCAGAGAGAGACCAGAGAGAGAGACCAGAGAGAGACCAGAGAGAGACATTTAGAATCATGTCAGCGTTGAACCACATGTGTCCAGTGTCTCTCTACGTTGCCCTTGTGCTGCTGACATGTTGTGTACATACAGCTACAGTGCGAGAGTTAGAATATACAGAACTTCCTTGCTCCGTTATTATTATGTTAGTTATTGTTTAAGAGTTTTAGAGTTATTTATCTCGTGCTATGTGCTCCTCACTCCTATTATTCTATAACTGATGATGCAACACTGGCATTTCCCCACTGTGGAACGAATAAAGAATATCTTGTCTATATTGAAGATGCATCAACGTCATCCAGTCACGTGATTGTGAATAAGCTTACGGCGGAAGCATTGGAAACTAGCATTGCTGCGAGAGAAAAACAGACACAACTCTTAAAAACGGAGCTTCCTCTCATAAATCGAGAAGTGGCTGCTTCAAGCACATGTTCGATTACGTTATAGGTGGAAGTAGGACATCAGGTCAGGGCTCACAAAGAGTGGTATTTGGAGAAGTTAAGGATCGCCGAACTGGATGTTGACCCGTACCTTCTCCCCACAGTCAATTTTATCGATTAAATAAAATGTCTGTTTTTGCCCAAATTCACCCTACATGATCTTTATCATTATCGTTAACAATGCATCCCCTTACACTGGAGCAGATTTATATGTACATTTTGCTGGTAGCATTAGCAATAGTCCACTTTTCTGTGGCTTTTCTGTCTACAGCCAAACATGATACGTACTGACGGAGAGGAAAATAGTGAAACACGCAATTGACTTAAAAGATAAAAATGTCAATGTTGCAGCGCACATACAGGACAGTAGTAAGAGGCACTTTTGACGTGTGTCATTGTCCTCCAAATTAATGGAAATAAAATAAATACAAACTTGTGATTGCTTTATCTTGTAAAAAGTGTTCACTGCATATTAGGGAGTACTTGGATGGGTCCCAGTCCTTTTGGTTGATTGCCGCTGGCCATAGTCGTCTTCTGTCTTCATGACGAGCAGGTATCAGATGAAAAAGCTTATGTCCTTGCCTGTTAGTATAATCAACCGCACTGCAAAATGTCACAGTTTTGGCTGTAATGCTCTGAAACAGGTTGTTTTGGTCAGGTGTCCGTAGGCTCGCAGTTACTTCTGCCGTCTGTCATGGGGAGTGGGCGTGGCCTGGTCACATGCAAGGGGTCAATATCTTATATAGGAGATTTTTCCAGAATTGTATTTAAAAAAAAAAATCCTTCCTCAGAGTGTTTTGCATGTCCCCAGAATGATTTACACATAGGAGGACCGATAGTTTAGATCAGGCATGTCCAAACTCAGGCCTGGGGGCCAATTGCGGCCCTCAGTGTAATTTTATGTGGCCCTCTGCCTTGCTAACCCAAAGTAGTCTCTGAGATCATAAACACAAGTTCACTGTGTCATCCATCCAACTTCAGCTCAGCCATAGACATGTTCTAAAGCCCGGTACGTCTGGAATTCAGTTGTTGACTTGTGAGTTGGTGAGATGGTAAACATTTGTCATTCAGCCAACTTTAGCTTTTTTATAGATCATTTTAAATCTCGGAACAGCCCAATGCCAGTCAAGACAGTTTTTCAGTCCATGATGTCGGCCCCTGGACTAGTCTAGTGAACTAAAGTGGCCCATCATGTTTGGACACCCCTGCTTTAGATGATCCACCTGGAAGAAGAAAATCCTCCCATGAACCTTTAATCTTAATCTTAAATATGGACATTGCTATTGTGTCAGAGTGTGTTTATGTGCATGTGTATATGAGTGTGCATGTGTGTATGTGTGTGTGTGTGTGTGTGTTTTGTGCGTGCCATTGTGTGTGGAGGTGACTGGGAGCGGAAAAGGTCAAGAAAAGCTGTGCGTTCAGAGGTGGCCTTGTGATTGGATGCGACGTGTTTAACCCCGGGGCGGTGCGTGCTCTGTAGCCTTTGTGGGCTTGGGCTTAGCGCTGCAGGCGGCACACGGAGCCCGCAGAGGAGCCGCTGGAGGCATTAAGGAGGTGTGCCCGCCCGTGGATCATGCGGATTGGAACTTTGAAAAGCTGACTCAGACTGCGCTGGGATTTGCGAGAGTTGATCGGGCTCTGCTTCCATGTCAGCAGTCTACAAAAGGCATCATGAACTGTTGATAAAGATCATGTTTCAGTCCTTTCTGTGCCTCTGTGTCCTGATGTTGCAACCATAAACCATCATTCTGGGTTTTAGAACGATTAATTAATTATATTTAACTTTATTAATCCCCGTACGGCAATTCCTACTCTGTATTTGACCCATCCTTATGCCACTATAGGGCGTCTATCAGGAGCTGTGGTCGCCGTAGTAACAGCCCCCAGAGACCCATCTCCAGATGTTGATGCTCGCCTCGGTCAGGACTACCAGAGCTGGAGGATCACCCAAACCGGAGCACCTGGAGAAAACCCTCACAGACACGGGGAGAGCATGAAAACTCCACTCAGAGAGACCCTGACTGTGATTCGAACCCAGTTGGGGCAAGAGCGCTATCCCCTCAGCCACTGTGCCCCCCGTCCAAATATTTAATGTATTAATGTGTACGAAATATGACTTATTTAAATTTCCTGTTACTGCAATTTTTGTGTCCTTTTTGGGAGCGTTCATACATAATAGGAACAAAATTGAAAATATTGGGGATTTTCTAGCTCTTGCTCGAGTTTACACAGCACTGACTTTCTTACCTTTTTTTTTTTTAGTATCCATCAGATTCATGCTGCTAAAATCTGGAACAGTCTTCCTGAAGATGTGAGACAGGCCTCCTCTCTGACGATGTTTAAAACCAGGTTAAAGACAGTTCTGTTTAGCTGTGCATACAACTGAGGGATTTTATATTTGTATCTTTATTTTTAATGTACTGTGATTATTTATGACTTTAGTGCTACTGTATTTTATTCAGCACTTTGAGTTGCCTTGTGTATGAATTGTGCTATACAAGTAAACTTGCCTTGCCTATTCTTTCTGAGACTTCCCTATCCACTCACACTTCCTCCAGCTCATTCGGGGGAGTCCCAGGACGCTCCCAGTTCAGCTGAGAGACACAGTCCCTCCAACCGGTCCGGGGTCTTTCTAGGGTCTCCTCCCGATGGGACGTGGGCGGTCCAGCCCTTTGAAATTATGTTAAAATTATCTTTTTAGCAAAGTCCAAATGCGTTCTCACTTGTGGATTGGTGAAGTTTCTGATCTGGGCGGCACGGTGGCTGAGTGGATAGCCCTCTCGCCTCTCAGCAAGAAGGTCCTGGGTTCAAATCCCGGTTGGACCAGGGCCTTTCTGAGTGGAGTTTGCATGTTCTCCCCGTGTCTGTGTGGGTTTCTTCCGGGTACTCCAGTTCCTCCTACCACTAAAAATATGTACAATAGGTCTGGCATGTGCCTCCTGTACTGGCACCCCCACTCCCTTCTCTGTGTGGAGTGAGAGACAAATGCCCAAAAATAACAATTGTAAACCGCTTTGAGACTCAGATCTGCAGTGAAAAGGCGGTATATAAATAAAGATTACTTACAGATTGAGGAATTCTGAATAATGTATTACCCCTCTTCCTTACACACATAAATGTTCCACTCTGTTAATTATTGAATACAGTTAGAGCCACTTTTATAAACTTTTTGGCTGTAAGACCTATAAACTAGGCCTAACTCTGTGTATCTGTTTTTGTTGTGTGTTTACTTCATGTAATGTGTATGTGACAACAATAATTAACTAATCAAAGGGATCTGGGTGGTTCTTCTGACTACAGTGGACAACAGTAGGACTAGAGAACACATCACCCCTGTCTTTAAATCACTCCACTGGCTCCCTGTTCCAAACCGCATCCATTACAAGGTCCACCTCCTTCTCCTCACACCTACAAGTCCCTCCAGAACCTCCTGGAGACTCCGAGATGCTTCACAAGACACTGAATCATTCACTACAGACTTGGTTTATGTGAAGTACTCCTGTAGCCACGCACACACACAACCACCCATCCACACTCACACACACAGAAATATACACACACACACACACACAACCACCAATCCACACTCACACACACAGAAATATACACACACTCTCTCATACACACACACAACCACCCGTCTGCACTCACACATACACACCAGTCTACACACACACACACATGCACACAACCACACACATACACACACATACAGACACACACACGTCTGCACTAACACATACACACCAGTCTACACACACACACGCACACAACCACACACACACACACACACACACACACACACGCCTGACCTGCTCGCTCCAACAGTATTGCCTGAGGACATATTCAGCTAAATTGACTTTTTTACTTTTAGCAATGTTACAATTTTGTTCTTTCATCAAAACCAGACCTGGAGTTGTTTTTAGATCCATCCATGCGTCTGGCACATCCATGTGACTCCGCCCCTTTCTGTCTAAATCAGGAATGTCAAAGTCAAATACTTCAGAGGGCCAAAAAAAGAAACATTGCTACAAGCTAAGGACTGGACTGGTTCAATGTTTATTAAAAATATATTAAACTGTTTGCATATAACAAATGAATAATCCAATGTTTATGAACGTCTCGGTCAAAATGGACTCTCAACATTCAACAACATTTAGATAACTACTGTTGTGATTTAGTATGAATTGAAATTGAACAAATACCACACAGGTAACACAAGGACAAAATCTACACAGACACAGGGAGAACATGCAAACTACCCTCAGAAAGGCCCTGTTCTGACTGTGGATTAAAACCCCTGATGTATATACAAACCTGAGACCAAAACCCGTAGTCTCCATCTTGAAGTACCTCTATCCGGTGCGAGGCCTGGTTTCAAAGTGAGTTTTGGGGGATTTGTGTCATGGGGGGTACTGAGAGCAGGAGTGTGCTGCGGTAAAGCTCTAATCTGTGAGAGAAATGTGTCTAATCTAGAGGAGGAGGGGAGCTCATCTGTCACCGCGCTGTTTATGCATTTCTATTTCAGCCCACCAGAAATATTAATCCAGTGAGTGTGTCTGTGTGTGTGTCTGTGTGCGTGTGTGTGTGTGTTATCTATGAGGGCCGCAAAGAGGTGGTCGCCCAGTCACACATCATACTGCTAAAATATAAGAAGATTTAACCCACCCAGTACACAGAGCACCAGCCCCTCACTGATCCTCCTGCAGGTGCTGAGTCCACAGGAGCTTTGATCTTTCAGCGGGGGCTTCAGGCAAAGTGGGGTTAAGTGTCTTGCCCAAGGACACAACGACAGCAGTGGGAGTCGTGAAGAAGGTGTTGTGGCGGGCTCGAATCCACAACTTTCAGGCTCAATGGCCAATGCTCTACCAATGGAGCCACTGTCGCATTTTGACAAGTACTAAAGTGTGGATTTAAAGAAAACCGAATGAAAAAAAGTTGAGAACCATAAGGGACACTAAAGTCCCCACAAAATTTGACCTCCATGAAAGCTGTCAGGTTCTCTGTCTGGGTAGCCCCCTTGATTTTAATCTACAGTACCGTGGGCGCCCCCTGTGGTCATGGGTGGGACAGCTATAAGCTAGAAATACTCTAGCCTGACCTTATCCATCCGTACACTCCGCTCAATCATCATTTTACTGCATGTAACGTCTGGGTCTGGTCCCTGTGTTAGCGATTACAATCGCTTGAATTTTGACCGACCTACCAGCGAGCGTGGGAGGTGGGTGTTGAACGGGAAGGTTATAGTTTGGCAATGGCAAAAAATGCGATAGTAAAGTAATCCGGTCTGGTTCTATCTAGAAATTGAAGCCGGAGCAATAGGAATGTTTAGCAAATGTAATCGCTAGAATAAATTGTAGCGCTACTCCCTACGGGCTCCGTTAGCGGCAAAGGAGATGGCTAGGCTAAATGCTAACAACAGACTCGGGCTCATACGTCACGGTAAACTCAGATCTAATGGTTTCAATCTGCAAAAAGAGTTAACCCCTCCCACCTGTTCACGGAGCTCAATGGAGCACCTCCAGACCTTAGTACCAAATGTAATTTGTACTATGGTGTGGTACGACCAGGCTAGAAATACTCTATCCAGATATCATTAAAGATCCACGGTTGTGATGGACTTTGTTTCGTTTCAAAGAACTTCCAGTTTAATTTTGCCACTTTCTGTGAGGAAATATTTAAATGTTTGTGACAAATGTTTCTTCATTGTGAGATCAATAAAGTTTATCTATCTACGATGCTGGTTTCACAGACCAGACATTAGCTCCTGGCTGGAAAGGAAAAGGAAAAACATTGTCTATTTTATGGGTATATTTTGGAAATGTATTAGAAAGATTACATTGTATTGTTGTGATTTTAGCTCTTAAGGTGGAAATGTGATTATGAAGAATAAAGATGGAAACATTCCACTTGTAAGATTCTACAAGCGTGGATTCATCCAAAAACAACTCCAGGTCTGTTTGTGACGAGAACCATGAATACATCAATTTAAAAAAACACAGAGTCAAAAGTTTAGGTTAAGCAGCAGAATGTCTCCAAAAACTTTATGATTAATATTATGTGGCAAAAGAAATACTGCAGCAATCATGAATTCCAAATGCCATTTTATTTCATACATAAATCATGCTAACAAGCGAAGCAATGCCATGAAGAGGATCAAATACAGAAGCAAAACATCAAATGAAAAACAGAACATGGAGAGGGGGACAGAAACAGAAAAGAAAAAAACGTCACATTAGCAACAGTGATAATGTAAAAATATACATGAATAATTTGTATGCAAGGATACACTGTACATACAGTACAAGGGGATTCATGGCCGTTCACTCTGAGATGAGTTACTAAACAAAAGAAGACTAAAAACAATGTGTGATGAAACTGTAGGACTGTGGAGGTGAAGATGGGGGAGGAGAGGGAGAGCGGGGGGAGGCAGGGGGCAATGAAAGCACGCTGACAGCCATCTACACATGCTGCACACACAGGCAGCTAGAAAAACTACAGCTTCATACTACAGGTCTAATGTTACAGGTCTAATGTTGCAGGTCTAATGTTACAGGTCTAATGTTACAGGTCTAATGTTACAGGTCTAATGTTACAGGTCTAATGTTACAGGTCTAATGTTACAGGTCTAATGTTACAGGTCTAATGTTACAGGTCTAATGTTATGGGTCTAGTGTCGCGGGTCTAATGTCACAGGTCTAGTGTCGCGGGTCTAATGTCACAGGTCTAATGTTGCGGGTCTAGTGTCACAGGTCTAATGTTATAGGTCTAGTGTCTCAGGTCTAATGTTATAGGTCTAGTGTCTCAGGTCTAATGTTTGAGGTCTGAGGTGAGAACACGGCGGCAGATGCCGGGGACATGGCACCGACACAGGAGTGGACTCTGCTCAGGGTTGCCACAGGATTGACTGGTTATTGGTTTTTGGTTGTTTTTATTGCTCCTTGATGATTGTGCATTTTCAAATGCTGACAATCCCGGTTTAGTGGTGAAAGTAAAGTGGACATCCTGCTGCAACCCTCCCCCCTCGCCCCCCTCATGCGGCTCACCTGGTGTTGAGGTCTGCCTGAGCCGCTGCAGCTCCTCCGCTGCCCCCGCGGCTCTTCTCCAAGCCCAGCTTGGTGAAGATGCCCACCAGCACCATGATGGCCACCACGCCACAGATGATGTAGACGATGAGGTGAGTGCGGTCTCGGTCCTGGTCCCCCTGGCCCTCGGTGATGGTGGCCACGGGTTTGCCGGTGTTGGCCCAGATGGGCGTGTCGTAGTTGTTGCAGATTGTCTGGTCCAGACGCTGCTGTCGGAACTGGCAGCAGAAGCGGTAGAAGCAGGTGCCACAACAGTACAAGAAGACCCCTGCGTTACAGTTGAACGGAGGGTCCCACTGCCCCATCACGTCATAGTAACCCTGACAGCGGGTCCCTCCCACTGGGGGGCTGTCCTCGTCATCAGAGTCCCCTCCGCTGGTGGGTGTGGACAGGCCAGTCTCAAGGGGAGTGTTCTGGGTGGTCTCTGTGTACTGTGTCTGGTTGAGCAGTCTGGTGGGGTCTATGTACGCCTCCCCCTGTCCAGACACCTGCGACACTGAGGGATTCTGGGCCGTGCTGAGGCGGGTCAGGAGCAGGAGGCTGAGGGCCAGTTGCAGGACACAGGGGGCAGATGTGATGGACACCATGCTGCAGGTGAGACCCTGCTCCCAGAACTGCTGCTGCAAACAAGAGGAGAGCTCAACAAGCGTCTGTGCGAGAAGCATCCACTGTTCAATATAGAAACCTCCAGTTCATTTGTATAATTTTAACAAAACGTAATTCAGAATCAGAATCATTTTTATTGCCATGTATTTTTATTGAAATTCAAAGTGCTTTACAAATAACGCTATATTCTAAGACCTTCAAAGGAAAAAAGGTAATAAGCATCACACTCAATGATCATAAACATTCCTGAAGTCCTTCCAAATGTTAGGATTAAAGCTGGTCATTGGTGAAATGATCAGTGGAGAGTTGTTTTGGAACATGTCTGTCATATACAGCCTCATTACCTCCAGGTACAGCCTGATACTGGCAGCCTCAGGTGTAAACAAAGTCTAATGCTGTCAACAAAGTGCAATCCTCCTGTGCCCAGAGCCACATGTGTGAGCGGACTCTGTGGAGCTACAAGTTATTGATTTTAAGCAGAGTGGTTAAACACATGATTCCATGGAATCGATGATGAAAAGAGGCCAGGGACGTTTCAAACGGGTCAACTGGCTCCAGATACTGATTAGTGTGTAAACCTCTCGCACACAATAAAACACACAATCACAGTTAAGTACAATCGCTTCATTTCATTAAAGGAAAGAGCTTGTTTCTTTGTTACACTTGTAGAAAGAATTCTAAATAGTTACAAAGCTACTTACGTTTTTCCTGTAGTTCAGCTGCCTGTTCAGACGTCCGGACTGTGAAGGGCTCACAAATCCCTTCAAACACATCCACAAACTTTAGCCAGCTTCATCCTCTCTCCCTGCTCTTCCTCTGCTCAAGTCTTTTCCATCTTCCACATCCACCACAGTCTTCAGTGTGTGCTCCGCTCTTCAGGGTCAGAGATGTCCGAGGGTCCGGGACACAGCAGCGGTGAATCCCACAGCTCTGTAGAGAAGAGCGCGAGTGGTAACCCCAGTGGCACAGGCACGGAGAGAGGGAGAGAGGGAGAAGGGGAGAGAGAGGAGGCAATGGAGAGAGGGAGAGAGGCAGAGAGAGGAGGCAGTGGAGAGAGGGAACGAGTAGGAGAGTAGAGATATATGGAAAGAGAGGGAGGCAGTGGAGAGAGGGAGAGAGAGGGAGGGAGAGAGGGAGAGAAGGGGAGGGAGAATGAGAGAGGGAGGCAGTGGAGAGAGGGAGGGAGAAAGAGGGAGGCAGTGGAGAGAGAGGGAGAGTAGAGAGAGGGAGAGGGAGTGTGGAGAGAGGGAGAGTAGAGAGAGGGAGTGTGGAGAGAGAGGGAGGGTAGAGAAAGGGAGCGAGTGGAGGCAGTGGAGAGAGGGAGAGAGAGGGAGTGTGGAGAGAGGCAGAGAGAGAGGGAGAGAGTGGAGAGAGGGAGAGAGGGAGAGAGTGGGGGGTGTATCCAGCTGCATCTCTCTCATCCCCGGAGGACTCAATCAAACAGACTGGAATACATTCAATAGGGACTGCAAATTATCCATAAGTTCGAATGTCTAAAGTCGTACGCTCAAAATAACACAGTTTGAGTTCTCCATCGATGGAGACGTAAACTACAGAGATAATGTGTTTTATTCTACTGCTTTTCAGGCCAGTCGTTTAACAGTAGGCAACCGTCGTTTTACATGGAGGATTTTGCAGCATTTTGGCACAATAACCTGCTGCTCACGACCACAAAGTGAGCACTGGTGAAAATTGGTTCAAATTCAGATTTTCCATTTGCAGTAAAACCAGATTGGAAAACTTGCCTTGCCCAATACTATTAGGTATGGAAAGTGTATTATAATGCAGTGGTTCTCAACCTTTTCACACCAAGTACCCCCTCAGAAAATACTTGCCTCTCCAAGTACCACCACAAATGACCAACACCACACAGTAGCGTAGTAAGCCGAAGTATTCATCAAAAACAAGGCAGAGGTTTAATTCCTAAAGAAGTATATTTAATGTAATGTTTTACACAGTTTCAACAGTAAGACTGCGCTTAAATATAGGAAAAAATGTTTTTTAAATGTTTCATTCATTACAAACTGCAAAGCCTCACTGTGAGTGATATTCTGGAGTGGGATCTTTGTCCACAGAAGGTTTGGACTCTGGTGCACTTTAGTTTCTAAGGCTGGGTCTGCTGCCCTCTTACATCTGTCGTTTACTCACAGAGACATGTTCATGTGGTTTGGATCAAATGATCGTTTGTTGCTTTCTATTCCTTTTGCACAGAACTGGGAAAAAAAACTTTTGTTTTTGCTGCTCCTTCTACATGGAACGTGTTGCAAAAAGACTAGAAATGATCTGATCTTATTTCCTTGAATGCTTTTAGATCCAGATTGAGACATCTTCAGTGAAATGTAACTGTTTTTATAATCTGTAATTTTATGAAATTGTGTGTTACTGTTTTATAATCTGTATGTGACTGTTTTATAATTTTATGTAATTTTTGAACACGAAAAAGAGGTTCTCATTGACTGCCAGCCATTTTTTTGATGACTTCACTGATTTTTAAGACTCACAGAATATTGTGTGCTATGAAAAATATGAAACCAGAGTCTGAAAGACAGGACTGTCTACTTTCAGCAGCAAAAAGAAGTTTGTTCTTAGTTTGTTTCGTTCTCCTGTGATCTCCAGTCGAAAAGAGGGGAGTGTGACAAAAAGCACCAGTCTTAGACAAAAAAATTTGAAAATGAGGTTTTTGTGAAAACAGACGAACTGCAGAAAAGTGATTGTAAAACTATTTAGTTTGACTTAAGCATCTCCTCAAACATGTCCAGGATCACATGTTAGAAAACAGCAACAAGTTTTGAGAAAGTGTTTTTAATGTAAAATAAGTTTTATGGCACACACACATCCACAAAGTGTTGCTCGAATGTTTCAAAATGTACTCATTCAAAAACTGTCAAAATGTACATATTGAAAGTAGAGCCCATGACAAACTATGGCAGATAGAATGGCCAGTATTCATCCATTAGGTGACACTATATTTATGTCAATAAGAGTAAATCAAAGAATAACAAAATTACAATGATAAACACTATACATGACAATAAATCAAAGTGAATACTTATAATTATAGTATAAGTGCAATAGAATACTGCTGTGTGTCTTTGTGTGTTTGGGCGTGCATGTATGTGCGTTAGCGAGGCAACCAGTCTGTGCCATTGGCCCCTCTGACCAGTGGCAGTGGGGGTGAAGTGTCTTGCCTAAGGACACAACAATAGCAGACATCAGTGGGAATCGGTTGAGAAAGGCAGGCTCGAACCCACAACCTTCTGGCTCAAAGGCCAATGCTCTACCAACTGAGCCACTGTTGCCCTAGGTCATACACCAGAGTAATGAAGGCTGTTTCCGTCACGTGAAAAAAAGTAGAAAAGCTACACAGAAACTTGTAATTTCGAGTTCAAATACTAATTTTCAGTCACAAGAATTTGAAAAAAGCAGCTTATTGTCCAGTGATTTGTGAACGCACTTTACAATAGTGTTGCCCTTAAAATATGACAAAATAAAATATGACAAAATATTTTTAATTGTCTTTACAGTCAATGGTCTTCAGTCGCCAAATTCATCACATTCATAAATAATGACCATATCTAACTATACAACCTTTGTTATCACTATTTATCTGTTTTTTAAATATTTTTTATGATTAAATATAAATATTGATCAATCATGTTTAAATATTTTCCAAAGAGTTGCGCCTGTTTATTTGATTTCATTTTTGACCATGGATTTGTTTTATTTATATAGTCTATAAATTACATTCTAAAAACCGGTGAATATGAAATTCCATGATTCTTGGGGAGATTGAAATTAACTAAAAAGTTCTCGACCCGATCCACCCAAATGATTTCCCTTATTTCCGTTCTCAAGTTGGCACCATGTTTACAATATTAACAAGGAATGTTATTTTGATGTTATTGACCCAAATTTAAATAACTACAGGGATCAATAAAGTATTTATCGATGACTTTGGGCTGGCACAGGGGCTGAGTAGCACTCTCGCTTCTCAGCAAGAAGGTCCTGAGTTCAAATCCTGGTCGGAACAGGACCATTCTGTGTTTTCAGTTTGCATGTTCTACCCGTGTCTGCATTATCACGCTGCATTGTGTTGTCTGTCTTATCCCATCGGGGGTGGTATTGTATAACTGTTTGTAATGTACCGTTGTATGTTTGAAAATTCTACTGCATGATGTTGTTAAAACACTTTGTCTGAAGGGGTTGGAACCGAATAATCACTTTTCAAACGAGGTACGGGTTATTTGTCTGTTATATTGATATATGTAAAAATATGTATTGTGCAAGTTCAAAATAAATAAATAAATGATAATAATAAGTTTCCTCCAGGTGCTCCGGTTTCTCCTACAATTAAAAACATGTCTGTGTGGAGTGAGAAGACAAATTCCCACATTAGGAAAGCGTTTTGTGACTCTGGTCTGTGAAAGGCGCTATATAAATAAACATTACATACTCACTACTGCTAATCTCAGTATTTTAGTCCCGCCTCGTTACGGTTTGGCCCATGCCACGTGTGTAGGAGGCAGCGGGTCCAACTGCAGCTCCGGCTCTGTCTCCAGCAGCAGCAGAGTCTGGCACCCGGTACACTCCAGAAGAACTGGAACTGGCAGCCGTGGAGATGAAGAGAATATGCAAAGCAGGTCGAGTCACTCTTAGTGCACACACCATGTCGTACGAACGCCTCCGAAACAGAAGCCCGGTGTTTTGTCGGCGGCGTCGTTCTCTGTTGTCGTCGTGAGCACTGGGTGTTGGATCAGAAGAGTCTCCGTGAGCTTCCCGGCAGCGTAAACATGTCTTTGACTTGAACATGTTTTTAGTCTTGTATTTTAAAAACGCACTGAAAAGGATCAAGAAGAAAATGCTGTTCATGACGGTTCTGTCGGCGTAATCTTCAGCTTTTGATCGTTTAAAAATCACAATGAGATAAAGGTTAATGTGTCCCTCAGTGCGCAGTGACATTTTTTTATCTTAACTTTGAATGAATAAGGAAATAATAGACAGAAAATACTAAAGCTGTATTATTTAGTTTGTTGTTATGAACCAAAAAACGTTGTATAGTAATAATAATATACATTTATTAAATCTCATAATAATATGCAGATTGTGACTTTAATTATTTATTTATTTATTATTTCAACAGTTTTGGTCCATAGTGCGGAAGTTTCACATATTTTATTGTTGGTTTTTAACATGTGTGTTGTGGGGTTCTCTTTTTTATGAGTTTTTACATTGGATAAAAGGTTATTTATCTTTTTTTTTTTATATTTCAATTGTTTTTACTGCGTACATAACATTTAACTTGTTCTATATATTTAATAATTTATTTTTTACATATGAAGCTGGCAAAGCTGTGTATTTAAATGTGTCACTTTAATCTCTGTGCAGCACTTTGGAGACTTGTTTTAGAACATGTGCTATGTAAATAAAGTGGATTGGATTGGATTTTAGCGCAATTTAAATTCTATGTATGTTTTGTAGCCGTAAATCACAACAATGGTTATCTCGAAGGACTCCACAAAGCTGTTGAATTCACCAACTCAGATCAGAAAATCAAACGGTTCAAAGACCAGAGAAACACAGAGAGCATTGGTCCATAAATGTTGTTAAAAGTCCTGGATCATCACTGTCCTTAGACCAGGGGTGCCCAAACTTTTAGCAAAACAGCCACTTTAGTTCATCAGACTTGACCTGGGGCCGACAACCTGGATTATAAAACCTGGATTGGAGCTGGATTGACTGGATCTTGGAATTTAAAATGGGTCATGATACGTCCTTATTGACTCACAGCTGCATTTTATTTGGACTGTTGTGACAATAAAGTCAACGGGATTCCAGAGGCTCTGAGATTTACAACAAGGTATAGCAGGACTGTGTTGGTGGAGCTGAAGTTGGTTGGATGACACTGTCAAAATGCCTCAATGGCAACTTTGTGTTAGCAGCAGAAGGGCCACATAAAAGGGCACAGAGGGCCACAATTGGCCCGCGGGCCTGAGTTTGGACATGCCTGTGTTAGACCCTTCTACATCAGCAACAAACAACTCTAGACAACAACAGCAAAGACATGTCCACAAGTGACCACACAACACACATAGACACACACACAGACAAACACACACGCAGACACACACACACTCACACACACGCACCCAGACACACACACACTCACACACACGCACCCAGACACACACACACACCCAGACAAACACACACACACACACACACAAACACACACACACAAACACACACAAATACACGCACACACACACACACACACACACACACACACACACTCCAGCCAATTACCCGTAGTCTCCAATCAGAATTATAAGCCAGATTGACAAAAAGCTTTTTGTTTTGCTTTCCGCTAATCTCTCGCGTCCAAATCCCCTCCTTTATGTTCTGTCATTCCGGAGCCAGCCCGACACTTCCCCTCCTCTTCCTCGCCTCTTCCTCGCCTCCCTGTGATTTCCAGCCTCGAGTGTGGGGACAGCGCTGAAAGGATGAGAGGGAATGTAGGCCAGTGGGGGAGAGTATGGGAGAGGATGGGAGAGAACGGTAAGAGTTTTAGGAGGAGGAGGAAACGGGGGGGGGGGGGGGGGGTGACACATTCTGGAACGGGACCAGAAGGAGCCAAAGGAGCCAATGGAGCGACGGGAAAGAAAGTGGATCTGAAGTGAGAGTGTGGAGAGAGGAAGCAGCGCGGAACTTTACTGTGAAGGAGTTTACCCGCGGACTTTAGAAAGTGGCAGTCTGACGAGAGCTCATTAAAAGGTTAATTGGGAGCATGGTGTTCTGTGTGAGAACTGTTCCGACATCGAACATCCCATATTCGTGGATCAGAGTGCACGTGGAGCTTATTGAATAATGGGAAATGACTGATCCGATAATGGAAACGACAGAGTTGGGCACAATCCTGGAAAAACTGCCCCGGGTCAGAGTCTGTCTCCTCCTGACACCGACTGCTTTCAGAAGTTGCCAGATTTATTTTATCAGTTTGACGGGGAATTTCTCTTGCATTCAATCTGAAGGGACTGGAACAGAAAAAAACACAGTATTATTAGAATTACATGTTGGTTGGCAGTAATCTGACTCTACATAAATTATACAAATGACATAGACAGAAATGCGTTCGGGGCGACAGTGGCTCAGTTGGTACCCTTTCCACTGACTCCCTCTGTCTGCTGTCGTTGTGTCCTTGGGCAAGACACTTAACCCCACTTTGCCTGAAGCCCCGGCTGAAAGCTCTATGCTCTCACCGAAAGAGCAGCCGTCCTCCTGGGGACACAGCTCTGACTGCCACCCTCCAGACCCAGAAATGGATTAAGTGGATGGATAGATATGTGTTAAACATTTGGCCTTAGACCCCGGCAGAGCACGTCCAGAAGAAGACTGCAGAAGGGGAAAGAGATGATGAGATGAAATCCCCCGGGGCCTAGACCCTGGTGGTGGGAGCATCAGCAACAGTTGCACAGTGACAGTCACAGTCAGTGGAACGGTCTGAATAGATGTGTCAGCGTTGCGGAGGGCTTGGGGTTCAATGCGAAGGGTGTTCTGCTTTCTTTGGTGGATCGGAACACATGGGCAGATCTGAAATATGGTTGGAAAGAAGTATTGAGTTGGGTCAGGTTATAACAAGATCTCCAACACTTTGAACACCTCACAGGCACTGTTTAATTCATCATCTGAAAATGGAAAGAGGCACAAATCCAAATCTACCAAGACTCGGCTGTCTGCCCAAACCACAGACAACACTCAGCACAGATAAAGATAATTCTACACAACTCTGGACTTTATGAACGTGTTGTGAATAGCTCTTGATCTGTGTATATTAAGCCACCGGGTGGATCGTCAACACAATTGGTCTTCCCAATCGTCAATCAGTGCTCGTCAAAGAAGACCAGAGAGATTTGTTCAAAAAGTGAAGAGGGCAGTGCTTGATTGGTGTTTTTTAAGCATTTATTAGTCCTTATTCTACACAAGCTTATCTAACATCTATCTAACTATTAATAATAATATAGTAATAATGCATCAGATTTATATAACGCTTTTTTGGACACTCAAAGATGCTTCACGTGTCATTATTCATTCACTCCATACACAAATTACATCTGTAGTTTATCCCCTGACAGAAGCGAGGCAGCCAGTCTGTGCCATCGGCCCCTCCCACCACCACCAACCATTCACACACACACTAGACTCATTCTAATGTGGGGGAAGTGTCTTGCCTAAGGACAGGGGTTTGGCACTTTACAGCCACAGCCGCCCCACTGTGGCACCTGTGGGAGTCGGTGGATAAAGTCTTGTGGTGAGCTCAAACCCACAACCTTCAGGCTCAAAGGCCAATGCTCTACCAACAGATCCACTGTCGCCCCCAATCAGTGACACTTTCCCATGGGTCAGGTTTAGGGTTAGTGTTAGGATTCTCTAATTAGCACTTAATTATCTGTTAATTATCTGCTAATCTAACCCTAACCCAAACTCCTGTGGTCTGCAGAAGCTTCAGTGAGTGGGTAAAAGTGTTGGTCCAGAACCTCCCACTGCTGAATGAACGGCCGCCTTTGTGAGAGGTTCAAAGATGTGTTGCAGAGTGCGGCCGGAGAGAGCTCTGACATTTTGCTCTGAGGCCTGAGTGCTACGGAGACACGACCCCAACACCTGCACGGTCAGAGGGCGACACTCGACCGCTGCTTTCAACACAGACCTGGGAGCATTTTGGCTTATAAGTGTAAAAAACAAAACAAAAAATACATATAAAAGTAAAGTCAGAGCTTGGTTTGTTACTGATTTGGTTGGGTCAGTGCATGTTTATGAAATATTGTACGGGTTTTTAGTGGTATAGAGGAAACCAGAGCACCTGGAGGAAACCCACGCAGAGGCGGGGAGAACGTGCAAACTTCACACAAAAAGGACTGGAGGTGGAATCGAACCCAGGACCTCCTTGTTGAGGTCTGCCCTTTACGACCTCCACCAATACTACTGCTACTTTAAAGTGATAGTCTGTAACTCTAAATGAATTACAAATTTTAGGAAATGTGTTAAATTGACCTCCTGGCCTAAATGTTGATATAAAATAAGTCATTTTATTAATTATAATATTACGGGTAAGTCCCGCCTTCCCTGCTCTTAGCTATAGCTCAGAATCCACGATGTCGTCCATGTTAACCAATCGAGTCATGCCAAGGGCTGTCAATCATCTGCGCTGATGCTCATAGCTGCTCATGCTCAGTTTGTTTGTTTTCACGGAGCCTCAGAATCAAGCCTCTATTATAAACTGAACCTATATCCATAATCATTTATAAACTGAACCTATATCCATAATCATTTATAAACTGAACCTATATCCATAATCATTTATATACTGAACCTATATCCATAATCATTTATATACTGAACCTATATCCATAATCAGATCCTATATTGTGCAGTTCATGATAATAGCTTGTTCCTGGTTTGCCGCAATCGCTTTTTTTTGTGCATAAAAACATTATTTTTTTCATTAAAACTTTCACAAATAATTCTGAAAACCTCCGTGCATGTGTATTAATAATGTATATGCATAATGTGTTCTCTGATTAACATTTAAAAGTGTTACGGAAACGTAGGCGTAGACCAATCAGAAAGGAAGGGGGAGGAGCTTGCGTCATTTTTTTTAAGTACCCCTCTGACAAACTCCAGACAATCACTTTAACCTGCTCATTGGGTGTACTGTGTGTACTTGTAAATAGTTTTTTTTTAAGAATTCTCAAATCCCAGTTTGTGACTTCCTGTTTCTTACAATAGCAATAAAAAGTATTTCGGATTTAGACAATGCATTGTTCGATCAGGAAAAGATGATAAAACCCACAAACACATTTTGCAGAGGAGCAGTG